TTCCCCTCTTCCCTCCTTAGTGTAGATTAGCTTCCAAATGTCAGAGAAAACATTTGATCTTTGTATTTTGGGGGATGATGTATTCCACTTAGTATGGTAGTCTACAGATCTATCCATTTACTGACAAATGTTGTAAAATCATTCTTTATGGCTGAGTGTGTGTGTGTGTGTGTGTGTGTGTGTGTATCCATCCACAGCTTAGCTATTATGAATTATTCTGCTAAAAAACTTGTTGTGATTATGTCACTGTAGTGTGCAGAGGATAGCCTCTTCAACAAATCGTGCTGGAAAACTACTCACCCCACTCAGAATAGTAGATATTAAAAATAAAAGCAACAGTGAATGATGGCAAGGATGTGGGGAAAGAAATTCACTTAATACATTGCTGGTGAAACTGCAAATTGGTGAAAACACTCTGGAAAGCAGTGTGGAGATTCCTCACAAAACTTGGAATAGAACCACTCTTTGACCCCATCATCACACTCCTCACTTTATTACCAAAGGACTTATAATCAGCATACTACAGTGACACAGCCACTTCAATATTTAATAGCAGATCAATTCACAATAGTTAAGCTATGGAACCAACCTAGGTGCCCTATATCAGATTAATAGATAAAGAGTTTGGTATACATACACAATGGAATACTACTCAGCTGTAAAGAAGACTGAAATTATATCATTCACCAGTAAATGGATGGAAATGGAGACTATCATGCTTTGTGAAATAAGGCAGTCCCAAAACTCAAAGGCAAAATGTGGATGCTAACTCAAACAAGAGAGTGAAAGATTAGAAGTTCATTGGACTAGACAAAGGGGAATGAAGAGAAGTGTGAAGCATGGTAATAGGAAAGACAGGAGAATGAATACGACACATCTTTCCTATCTTCATCTATAAATATACAACCAATGTAGCTTCTCATCATGTACAACCACAATAATGGGGGGAACCTATTTAGATTATTCTATGTATGTATAATATGTCAAAATATACTATCATGTCAAAATAATAATATTTTTTAAAAGAAGTTTCAAAAAAAATATTGTATTCCTAGATCTGAGGTTGTAGCTCAGTGGTGGAGCACTTGCCCAGCATGTGTGAGGCACTGGGTTGGATCCTTAACACCACATAAAAGAGAATTTAAGTAAAGGTATTAAACAAAAATAGCTCTACCAAAAGAAAAATATTGTATTCTTAAATATATATGTGTGTGTTTGTGTATTACTTATTTATTTATTTAATTTATTTATTTGATTCCCACCACTTCAAGTTCGGAAGTTCATATATTAGCCCACATATTTGACTCCTACTATCTAATTGTTGAAAGCATGTTTTATTTCAGTTTGTTTTTTATTATTGGTACCAGTGTTAAATACAAAACTCTAGACTATAAGTAATGCTGCAGAGCTGTAGTAACAAAAACAGCATGATATTGGCACCAAAAGATACCCAAAGACCAATAGGACAGAAGAGAAGACAGAGACAAATCCACATACTTAGAACCCTCTGATACTTAACAAAGGTGCAAAAAATATATGCTGGAGGAAAGAGCCTTTTTAATGAATGATGCTGGGACAACTGGATAACTATATGTAGAAAAAATAACACTAAAACCCTATTTTGCACCCTGCACAAAACTCAAATCAAAATGGACCTAACATTTAGTAATTAGAC